ATCGAGGTACCACAAGAGAAATTGAAGATGAAGATCTGGGAGCATGTGAAGGAGTGTAAACATGGAGAAGTTGTGGGGTGCAAGATTATGAAGTGCGTTATATGTAAGTAGCAGGGTCTTGACTGGAAGCCAGTGCAATTGCTGAAGAACTGGAGAAATGTGATCAGTAGAAGATGTTCTAGCTGCAGAATACTGAACCAACTGAAGCTTATCAGTCCCTCCAGGATTTCACGATTTTTTTGTGTGATTTTTGCGATCAAAATGACTGATTTTGTGGTGGTAATTTCCAAAAATTTGTGACAAAATTTGCGATTTATATATAACATTTGCCATAATAGTATTCAGTCTTTCCAGAAAAACGCTGAGTTTTTTTGTGATTGTTGCGGGCAAAAATTGATTGATTACGCAGCCCGTTTTCCTTAAAAATGCGATGGAATATGCGGGATATTTATGCAATTTTATGCGAGGAATTTGCAAAAATTGAGGGAACTTGCAAAAATTGTGGTTTGATAAAAAAGAGGAAAAAAAGTGATTCCCCCAACATCCTGTTCTCACTAGGCTAATGCAAGAGTCATTTCTTATTAATTCCTTTGATAAGCAAGCATACTACATCATAGAAAGTGCTGGGAATATTTAATTTCTCATCTTGTTTTATTTCAGACTGTAACGAGTGTAAATAAGGTGTGGCCCCTTTAAGAGCTGCGCGCTCTCTGTTGAACTGAACTGTCGAACACCCCATGTGTGCGGGTAATTTCTGTTTGATGCTACTTCTTTTATCTTATGTTGTTTATTAAGTAACGTTGTGACAGTAGAACGTGTGACAGACAGTTATACGAGTTCAATTTGTGAGATGTCGATCGCCTCCGTGAGTCTGTCTGGCGTCGCGTAATTGCGTCACTTCATAACGTTCCCATGGAAACAGGGGGAAATGGCTGCTCTTGTGTGAAGCAAACGCAACATTTCAACTTTCTGCTAAGATACATACATGTGACGTTTTTTGCAACGAAAATGCGAGGATTATGAAATTATGCAAACCCCGCATATTTCGCACGGAAATCGGCAATTTATGCGGCGAAAGTGCGGCGTATTTGAAAAAATGCGGCCCCCGCATAAATATGCGGACTTTGGCTGATTTTGCATTGAATTCAGCGATCGCATAATCGCGTTTTTCTGGAGGGACTGGCTTATGTATAGGGTTGGGTATCGAGAATCGAGTATCGATTGGAACCGAGACTAACTTTTCGTTTTATCCCGGAATCGTTCAAAAGTTAAAATTTCGATTCCTAGTTTCGATATTCACAGTCCGCCGAGCGGAAGAAGAAACCGCTGAACAACACCAACGAAGAAGCGTCTACCGGAAGTGTTGGCATAACCACGCGAGTCGAACATGAGTAGCTTACGTCGGCGATCCAAAGTGTGGCTTCACTTTTCTAAAAATAACGAAATCTCGGCAAAATGCAAAATTTGTGACAAAAGGAGTATTTTTACAGAAGGAGTATTTCCTTCAGAAAGGATTATTTCCTTCAGAAAGGCCGTTGGTTAGCAAGGTTAGCTAAACTTTTTTGACCCTGCCTCTTAAAAGAATCGGAATCGAGAATCGTTAGGAACCGGAATTGAAACAAGGAATCGGAATCAGAATCGTTCAAATTCAAACGATACCCAACCCTACTTATGTAGCAATTTGGAGGGAACACCTATGAAAAGAGCATTACAGTAGTCTATACGTGATTCGTGAAGTGACCAGTGTGTGAATAAGAACTGCAGTATTATTATTTGAAAGAAAGGGATGGAGACGGCTAATTTTACGCAAGTGGAAGTATGCAATCCGTGTGATACTATTAATTTGAGCTTCAAAGGTGTGCTATCCATGATGACACCCAAACTTTTAACCTGTGAAGAGGGACAGATTGCAGTATTGTCAATGTACAATTCGTTTTTGACAAAACAGATCTACTGCCAACAAGCAAAGCCTCAGTTTTGATGCCATTTCCCTTCAAGAAGTTGGCTGAAAGCCAATCTTTAATTTCAGCTAAACAGCTGGACAAAGATAGTGGTGGAAAAGAATCAGTGGGTTTGGCAGACAGGTAGAGTTGAGTGTCATCCGTATAACATGGTGCTTTCATTCTGAAATTTGTTAAAATTTGAACATATGTTGCTTGTTTACACTGTTACTGGAGTTGTTATGGTTATGAATTTATGAACGGACTGAAATGTTTTCTGTTATTTAAACGCCTGAAAGAAATCACCAGACTTTGATTAGATTTGTACAACCATTTGTGCAACTGTGACATGATGTGCTGCAATTTTCTTTTGCACATGGAAAATGACAAAAGCCATATAGACTCCATAAGACAGCATGACTAATTTACTTGCAGGACCCTTTAGTACAGGGCAGGCCGCTTTCAACCGCATGACCCAGTCCGATTTGGACAGAGCTGTGTGAAATGTGTTGTGAGCTTACATTGCAACCCCAAATGACTCGCTGACATTCCCTGATGTGGAAAAACATACTTAATGACTAGCAAAGAAACTAAAAATAAATGAAAAAGTGTCCACATGTACTATAACCCATAAAATGTCATAATTTTACTATAGCAACAACAATGGTATTTTGGCGGAGACATTGCACATTCACAGCAAATACTATTATATTGTTAATATTTTATATAAAAAGTGAGGAAATACAATGTATTTTTATTACATATTACAATATACTATATCCGATTTGTTTAAATTGCACATGCTTATTTTCCCTATTTGTCCGTTAGGTAACAACTACCGTCATCTAAGGTTATCCTAGTGAATATTTAATAAGTAAATCTCAAATTATTATCTATTTTTAATACCGTATTATAATGTTGTGAAGCCTAAATTCCATTGAATTCCTATTTATTTAGGTTTGTATGATTTATTTTTTTAATATATTAAGAGAAAAAAGCATAAAATTGTAATATTGTGTAATACACCAATGTGTCCCTGAGAAAGACACTTAACCCCTATATAGCATATATAGCAATTGTAAGTCGCTTTGGATAAAAGCATCAGCTAAATGAATAAATGTAAATATTGGACATTTATTGGTTGTCAGCCATAACATAAAAATATAATTGGTTTATATGACATTGGTGCATTTTCATAAATCAAGTACAAAACAGAATCAAGGGACGAATGGAAAATATGTTTGGTTCTAATAATCACAAAAAAGAAATGCCTTTGTTTGGTTTGTTTAGCTTCTAACCATACAAAACACCATATGGTTTTCTCATATAGAGTCGTGGACAAAATCTGAAGTTTGCTGAGGCTTTGACACAATCCAGTTACAGTGTCGTAATGCAAGATTTTCCCCATTGAATCTTTCTCCATTTGTCTTTCCGTCTCACAGTCATTTAAAGCAATTACATGCAATTTTACCAACAATTTCAACTAAAATATATATATAATAAACCATTTCACTGTAATCTTATGTGATGAGGTTTAAATGTGCGGATAGTGAAGAAAGAAAAGACGGACAATTTGCTTTAACACCTGAACATCAAGAATAGATCTAAAGTAAACTTCGCAAGGAAATAAACTGTTTTACTTTCAGAAAGGCGACACTAATTCTGGAAAAGGGCAAGAATTTCCTATTAATTAACCACATGATAATGATTTATCCATATACAAACTGCATTTGATTTACAGTATCATAAGGATTTGTGTCAACTCACAAAAACATCAGACCGCACAGCTTTCCAGTCCAGTGTCATGCGGCTGAGCCAGTACAACCATAACCAGAGAAACAAGAGCATCACTCACAGGACACAACAGTGCCTTTGTGTTTGTAATTACTGTATGTCTGATCAGACATGTACTGAGTGAGGCTCAATAAGACAGAGACACGGGTTAATTGAGGCTATTGAAACACATCGGATGAGACAGCGAGGGCTGTTTGATGTACTCGAAACATACATCATGAGACAAAGTATCGCATTAGCTGAGGGAAACTGGATGGAAATTGAATTTGCTTTGCACTCTGCTGTCAATCAAATCAAGCAACATTATGACCTCAGAATCTCATTAGCAATAATTGTCCATAAATACATTGAGATTTCCTCATTTTCTGTAATTTGTGTATTAAATGGATTATAAAATACAGCATTTTTGGGGCCACACACTTTTGTTTTGTGAAATAATGGCCACGCATATTTGGGTTTAATAACATCTGTGGTAAAATTTAATGAACGCATTTTCACGGTAACCATGAACAGCGTTGTATTTATGGGTAAAAGTATGAAAAACAGTTTGAAAAAGCATTGTCCACGTGACAAATCTTTAAAAACACACACATCCCTCACAATTGGGAAACTTTTTTATGGAATTATGTGAAAATGTTTACAAATAAGTTTGCACGTTGTAAAAAGATTCTATTAATGTTACAGTAAACAAAAACACAGACACATAACCATCAGACTATTGAAATATACTTGCTTTGTATCTTAAAATTTACAGATGACTACTAGAATAATACATACACTAAAAAAGGCACATAATCTTGCACATAAAAATAATGCCGTAAGGGGGGGGGGGGGTAATTTTATCAAATGTTTTTTACTGTTTACTGTTAAAGTTTATGTAAAACTACATTTTTGTTGTTGTTGAATATAATTTGTCACTGTGATGTGCTAAATAAAAAGCTAGACAGTGGGGGTAAGCAGACCGGAAACATGCACGTATCAAAATAATGTTAAAAAATAGCCTAATAATAATAATAATAATAATGTGATGAAAGCATTAGTCCGGTAAACTAATTCATTTCATCAATAACCTGTATACATGTAGCTTTAATCACAAATAGCCTAAATCATAAATCACATGTGTAACAATGCCTGAACACTTCATGTTGGCTCTTGAGATCTCATAAATGTCCAGCTGTGTCAGAGCGCGTGCTGGCTCATCCACGACATGCATTTCAACAGATCCGCGTCGCGGAGGCATTCGCACGAGAACATGAATGAACTTACCTCGCGTTTCTTTCGCCATCCTGCCCCTCTATGTAAGCGTGTGTGGTAGTTTGAGTCAATTCCTCTTCCTCAAACCGACAGTCTACGCATGTTCTTGGGGACCTCTACCTGCTCGCACAGGTGACCTAACAATTAGTTACCAGCTACACCGTATAAATACAAATAAAGTGCAGTCCTTTGTTCAAAACTGGACGCTTCTGTCAGTCTCCGATGTCAGAATTAAATCTCCAGAATCGCGCCAAAAGTGATACAGCTGAGAACTGCTATGACGCATCAATCGGAAAGTAGCCTATCCCGTCACACGAACGCGTCTCTGACGAGTGTGTGCACGAGCCTCGGACTGTGAGGAGCATCATGATGCTGTCTGGGAAGGTATCTGCCGTAGCTATGTGCGTGTTATTATTAACACGGGGGAAGCAGTCCGCACGGATTCCTGCATGCGCATGCCAGTTGATTATTAATCACTTAAAGGCTTCATAAGTTCCCTACAATCATCTCACGAAACCCCCAGCGTCTCATGCCAGCTGTGTGAAACCTAATTAGACTAACTGGGACATCAGGGAATACATTCGCATAGAATTGTTTAAATAATCTAATAGGCAATGTGCAATTTATGCCATGATTTTCAGGAGGGACCTAAACGTCAGTTAACCTAGCCTATCAAAATGTTAAACACTTGTCAGATTTGACGAATCTGCCTAATGAATAGACCAATTAGCCAATGAGACACACAATGCAAACAATTAAATTTAAGAACAATTAAAGCTATTTTTAAAAATTCAATGAAAAAAAAAAAATTCAATAAGCCATTTTGGTGATCAAAATGAGTTTTAAGGGATTGACTACACGAGGGCTTAAGGTTTTCTCATACACATTTCATATTCTTGTGTTTCTGAGGAACTAAGTGGCTCTTTTAGCACTATTTTTCAGCACATAAATGTACAGCAGTGGCATTACAAGAGAGAAAATACAAGAAAAAAAAACTCCATGGCAACTAGTTCCACAAATGCCTCTTGCAAGTGTGAAATACTGACGTAAACAGGTCAGTTTTGGTGCTTTAGGGAAATACCAGCATGTCTTTGGTCAAAATGTAGGAAAAGTCTAAAATAACCCCAGCTAAGCATCAATATGAATAATAATTGATGGCTGTGTTCTTACAGGTGTCATCGTATAGGTCAAGAAGACAGCAGTTCCACCTGTCTGTCAAGTATAATGAAGTGTTACTGTACCTGAGCACCTGTTTCGATCTCACAGCTGAGTAGTTTCTGTTGGTGAGTTGCTGTAAATCTATAATCTACACTGTAAAAAATAAAACCGTAATTTGTACGGTAAAAAAACGGCAGCTGTGAACTTTACCGTCAAAAATACGGTGACAGCATTATTGGATTTACAGACTTAAAATTTATAGTAATAAACCATATTTCATTATCTGATATAATATTAAGTATACCAACCCATTAAAGTACACAGTGTCATTCACACAAACATTAAACACCATCATGGTAACACACATGAAAAAAAAAATGCAATAAACATTAATTTAACCATGTAATATAAAACCCTAATGTACAAAAAACACCAAGATTATCACCAAAATTATGAGGAACCATAGTTATTTCACAAAAATTCATAAAATGTGAAGTGTCATATAGGGAATTGTGGGAATGTCAATTTACGTTTTTTTCACTGTAAATTATACAATGAGTTGTTCTTTTTCACTTTCAAAAACTGTAAATCTAACAGTATTTTACAGTAAAATTACAATAAATGTACGATGCACTGGAAAAAATAATCCTGTAAAAGAACGGTAAACTACTGTCAGCTGTGGTTGCCAGCATCGTACCGTAAAAATACGGTGTGTTACTGTTTTTAAAATTAACAGTTAAATACCATATTGTCAGCTACAGTATAAAACTTTAATTTAACAGCTATATAACACAAAAACAGTAACACACTGTAAAGTTACGGTGTTTTTTAACCGTGTTAAAGTTTGCCGTTTTTTTTTTTACAGGATTATTTTTTGCAGTGTGAGATCTATCACAGTTATTTACCGTATATAGAAGGGAAACTTTCTTTCGCACTGCAGCATTTTTACAGTCTTTTACCGTTAAAATTACGATTATTTTTTACAGTGAATCCCATGTAAACTAACTCGAGTCCCTTAAAAGTCATGTGGGACATTGCACCCAGATCTAGGCTGCATGCCGCCGGGACTTGTAATGTGTTTATCGATGAGTAATGAAGGCAACACTTTACAGCTGGGTTGCAGAATGGATTATAACTGTGGGCTTTGTTGTTAGGGTTATTTTTAGGGGGTCATTTTTTTTCATGCTGCCATGGTAAAAGTGGGTATCTGGGCCATCTTGCCTCCTGTGTAACAGCTCGTTTGAATGGGGAGGTTTGGTTAAAAGAGGTTTAACAGCCAGTGCAAGAAGAGAGAAGTTAAGAAAGACAATCGAGTTGCCTATAATGAAAAAAAAAAACAAAACAAAAAAAAACTCAAGAATGATAAATTCTTTTTACATATTTTACACTCTTAAGCATGTGAGAATTGTGAGCCTCAGGATGTAACGGCGGTCGAGAGTTGTTTTCTTTCTCTCAACACGCACTATCCATTTGTTAATGGCTCAGAAGATATGCATAATCAATGAGATCATCCTGTTCCTTGTGGCAACAAGAATTTTAAATGATTTATTCTGAAAGACCCAAACTCATAAAAGTCTACTCACTCGCCCTGAATTATTTGTAAAGGAAGTGTTGCCCATTTAAGCTCCAACATTTATATATCACATCAATCAATACTTTCAAACTGAAAAGCAAACGACTGCTTATTTGCAAGGTCAAAGACTTTTATATAGATATCTATAACATTTAATAGATCCTATTTAATATATGACATTCATCAAATTTGATCTAGCATAATCAGTTCAATATAGTGTGAAGATGCATGAATGTATGAGTCATCTCACTGTTTCAGGAGGTGTTGTTCCCCTCTCCATTGCCATCATCTCTGGAAACATGAAGCCTGCAGCCTCCACACATCAGCCTCATTTTCACACCCAGTGCGTTTCTCCATATACCACTTATCTGTGCCAATTTAGATATTAAATATTGCATATCAACAGTAAATGGTTGCTGGAACAAATGTCCAACCTTCAGACAAGCAGCAGTACCAATTGAAACGTTTAAAAAAAAAACTTTTATAAAACTATTATTTTTATTAATAGGTTATTTTATTATGCTTGTTTTATTATTAGATTGTATATGTACAGTATATAAATAGGCTATATATATATATATATATATATATATATATTTACATACAGTATATCACATTTATTCATTTTTATAGTTCATAAATATAGCCTTCATGGGTAAATGTGTCAAATTCTCCCCACTGTATATATATATATATATATATATATATATATATAAATTGTAGAAAGCATGAAACGGGAGTTGTAATAGTCTTTTCTTCCCAATTGTGATGTATATCCAATGTGATCTCTTTTTACGTAAATCTCTACATTTAGTACATTTACTTACGTTTTCATACACACTGAAACACACATAATAATGACGTATTGACAGCACTAAAACGTAAAACATTTACATATTTACTGCACTAAAATGTGAATTATTTATGTACAAAATATTTTACAGATGTACAAATTTGTATGTATTCCTGTTTATGAATATTAAAATCCTGGCATTAATGTTTTGACTATTGTATTCAGTTGTGATATCAATGACGTTAAATGCAGTTTACTCATTTACTTAATAAGTTTGTGTTCGTGACTTCTGCTGCAATCATAATGTTAAACAAGACTACACTTTGAAACCTTAACATGAATAAGATTTCTTTAATCAGCTAACCATTTTGTAAAATGTAGTTTGTTTGCCGTAACACAAAAGGCATTTTCTCCTATACAGTGTAAATATTTACAATAAAACCAGGTTTAAATGTTGCCGATACGTCCATATTATATGTTTCAGCATCTATCCAAATATACAAAAAAGTATGTTTTGTGTGTTTGAAAAAAAAAAGGCATATATCCAATGGAAACGGCTTCTCGAACAAGATAAAATTAGGACGGGGCTTGATTTTGTGAGTGATAGACAGGTTGTCCTGCCCTCATGCCAGTAAACCCCTCACATTTCAGCAAACATTTTAGTATCTTCTCAAGGGACAATAATATAGAGAGCCAGATTTTGACAATAATGGCTGTATGTTGAGTTATTTTCATAGGACAGTATATATAGTCTGCTATACAAGCAGCACATTGACTACTCTAAAATATATTTAAGTTTCATTATTATTTTTCCCTTGAAAAGATATACAAAAATGTTAGCCGAAATGTGAGGGGTCTACTCACGTTTGTGAGATACTATATATATATATATATATATATATATATATATACACACACATATACATATATACATAGTATATATATATAGTATCTCACAAAAGTGAGTAGACCCCTCACATCAAAACCACTGTTTTAAATTGTAATAATATTTCACAATATTACTGTTTTTTTTTTTTTTTATCAAATAATTGCAGCCTTGGTGAGCAGAAGAGACTTCTTTTAAAATATAAAAAATCTTACCGATCTAAAACTTTTGACCGGTAGTGTATATATACATATATATATATATGTATATATAAGAGGCGGCACTGTATCGTGAATAAGTCACGGCTGAAGGGCACTGTTAGCCGCTACTTATTCACGATACAGCACTTGCCACGAGTACCTTATTGCTTTTATAAAACGGTTACCACACAATAAAAATATTACAGTAAAAAAATATGTATTAGTGCAACTTTCATGAAGTAAAATCACTAAAAGCCCTCCTTCCGCTAAAAAAAATAGTCCCTGACCGTGAACAGCAACAACGTTCCAATGTGTAATATGCATGAAAGCTCAAATAAATAACATAGGAACTAAAGTGTTGCGCAGTGATACATAGAACCGTTGCATAAATCAATCATAGCCGTGTTTTATCATGAATATAGCACAGCTATTGACCAATCAGAATCAAGGATATATATATTGATTTGCAAGTTTGCTATGGTTAAATGTAAATGTGTGGTAAGCATGAAAATCTGAAGGTCAAGTGTGTGTTTTTTTGCAATCCTTCTTTCATGAGAAACTCTTTTCACAACCAACACACTTGTTTTACCTAACAAGTGCCTTAATGGTTCTAATCAGTCCCTTTGGTCCTCACTAAGAGGATGTGCTGACTGATGCAAGGCCTAAAAATGGAAAGTTGAGTGACCCATTGTCAACAGATATCGGGACACGGCAAAACACCGCTGCGGGTGAAGAGTGAGTAATTAAGAAAGATGAATGAGAAAGAGATAAGAGATAAAACCCTTGTCAATA